TCCATTCTTGTTAACGGATCCTCTCTTCCTAATGCTCCAAATGATACCTTAAGTGAGATGGAAAAAAAACAGATTCACCCTGATTTATCCTGGTGGCAGCGGCCGTTCTGGGATGTGAAGCACACCGCTGCAACGACACAAGCTTTTCTGCTTTAGCACAGGCTCAGGCAGCCAGACCTCATTAGCTCTGTCACGAGAGGACACCAGAGAAGATTGTTTCGGTGCTCCCTACATCAGTGTTTAAAGCAGTCGGTGCGTGTTTGGATGCCTTTAGTTGAACAAGCAGAAGACTACAAAGCACCCTGGGACCTTCTACTGGGACATAACACACTCTCTGTGACATTTGGTGGGTGGCATGTTTTTAAAAAGGCGGAAATCGAAGAGCCAATGAAAAAAAACATGGCTAATTAAGTGTGAAAGGTGCTGTCCTTGTTTGGACTGTTAATGGTATGACAAGCTGCAGTAAAGAGCTTAGCTGGCCAGATTAAAATTAAAAAATTGTCTCAGTCCATCTGCTAACTCCAAGAGCTTCCTTTCGTCACCTTTTCTTGTTTTGTTTCACTGGAGTGGGATACTCTCTCTGAAGGAAGATCTTTCCTAGGATATCTTGGCCAACATTTTTTGAAAACTACTGAACATTTTTGTTTTTCAAAGATGATGTGAAATCCAGACATTTGCAGAAAGGGCGATGCTCTTGGTTGTTTCAAGGATGCGTTAAAGCTCTCTTGCTAAAGGGGATTCTCCTTTACTTTTTTCTTTGTATTTTGTTTTTTGGACACAGTAAGTATGTTCTACTTCCCTTGGAAAATCTCTGTCTGCATCTTGGTTTTGAGAATGATTGAAGGAGATCTTCAGACTGTTGCAGGTAACGCAGAACTATTCCTTCTTCTTAATATTCTTGTTTTAAAGATTTTACCCGTAACTGTGTAGAAGTAAGAATAGGTCTTTGTATTAGAGCAACGGGAAGAAGAAGAATACAGAAAAATGTTTTGTCAGGTCTGTGCTGTGTAAAGTGTTAAGTTGTATCAGTGTTAACACGGAGAACTTGCAGTGAGTTCTAGGAGGTGTTATTGTACATTTGTATCTTTATAACAGAGTGAAATAAAGCTACAGGATGCTAGTTACTCTATTTCTGTGTACAGGGACCGAAGATGTAGCAGTCTGGGTGAAGACGGGTGTT